AATGGTGACTCCACATCTGGAGCAGAATATTTACAAGATGAGCCTAAAGCATTTTTGTCATATAAGAAAGGAAGTAAGCAATCAAGTACTACCAGGGTCTGGTCAAAAAAACTCAAGAGACAACTTGCGGAGGAGGTGGATCCTACTGGCCAAATAAGAAATAATTTGAGCATCAAAATAATAAATATTAATAATATCTGTTAAATAATAATGTCTTCAATGACCTAAAATACATCAAAGATGTTAACACTCATGAGTTCATAAATACACTTAAATTGAAGGCTATTAGGGAACTCACTATTCTGAAAACCAAGAAATAAAGAAGAAAATCCACATTTATCCTACCTTTCCTTATAAACTGTAAAGATACTTAATGAGATAAAGTTTTTTATTATAAAATAAGTTCAGTTAGGGCCAGCCCGGTGGCGCACTGCTACAGTGCGCCGCTTGGGAGCGCGGCGGCGCTCCCGCCAAGGGTTCGGATCCCACATACAGACCGGCTGCTCACTGGCTGAGCGAGGTGCGGGCGCAACACCGAGGGTTGCGATCCCATTGCCGGTCCCGGTCCGGTACGGGCGCGACACTGAGGGCTGCGATCCGTTGCCAGTCACGAAAAAAAAAAAAGACAAAAAGGAAAAAAAAAATAAAAAATAAAAATGAATAAGTTCAGTTATTAAAAATAGGGTGAATAATCAAATTAGAATATCACCATTTTGCAACTCCTAATAATGGATATAGGTAGGCAACAATCATCACGGGCTGCTAAAACTATTAGCTGAAAAGCTAATGGGAAAATTTATGTTGTTTATCATAAACTTTGTCAGGTTGGCAACATCTGAACCCAGTTATCAATTACAACATGACAAAAAGAGAGACAACCAGACATTGTATGCCTCCTAACATAATGCAATAGGAAGTAAACCATAACACCTATGATAAGAGTTTGAACGTGTCTTCCCCCAAAACTCATGTGGAAATCTGATCTGCCTATTTTAATAGGGAGCTATTTGAGTCATGGGGGTGGATCCCTCATGAAAGGATTAATGCTTTACCTGGGGGGTGGGGGTAGTGAGTGAGTTCTCACTCTTAGTTCCCGCCAGAGCTGGTTGTTAAAAAGACCCTGGCACCTCCCCTCTCTCTTTGCTGCTTCTTCTCATCCTGTGATGTGCTTGTACCCACCGGCTGCCTGTTGTTTTCCGCCATGAGTAGAAGCAGCCTGAGGCTTGCACCAGATGCAGCTGTCCCAGAATAGTAAGCCAAATAAAAACCTCTGTTCTTTATAAATTACCCAGTCTCAGGTGTTCTGTTATAGCAACACAAAACAGACTAATACAACCTCTGAAGTCTTTTTTGAAAAGAAAAATCAAACCTTAATCTGAATAATCCTATAAATTTAACTACCAGTTTATAAAAAATACAGAAGGAAAGGATACCACAGGACTATGATTTGTAAAATTCAGAATGTTAAAAAGTCTACAGAGTAAATGATCATTATTCTTCAACAAATAAGCTACCAAAAAAAATAATAATGAGAGTAATCTACATATTTTAAAAAATATCAAATGTAATGTGAAGATTTTGTTTGGGTAAATCAACTGGAAAACATAAAATAAAATTTATGAGGCAATTGAGTAAATTTCATATTGAATATCTCCGTTATGATTTTATTACAGAATTATTGTTAAATTTTAGTTGTACTAATGATATTGCAGTTATGTTCTTTTAAAAAGTACTTATATTTTAGATCAAAGTTTATTTTTTGGAAAAAGTACTTATATTTTATCAATAAAATAATATGGGGTCTGGAATTTACGTCAAAAGAATCATAAGGACCAGGAGAGAACTATGTATTAATACTTGTTGACTCTGGATCATTCATACATGAGTCCTCACTATACTAATCTATCTACTTTAATATATGTTTGAATACAAAGATTGGGTATTCTGAGTGACATAACTAAACCTTTGTATTTCTGACCTCCTGTCTGATCACTGAAGTCATTACAGACTGAAGACAACTACACAGAAAGAAGCACAGGGCAAAGTTAGAAAAAGCAGTCTCATGAAAGTAATGTCAAAGGGTACGTACCACTTCATTGTTAGAAGAAGCAGCTTCTAACACATAAAATCCTGACAGGAAGCAGTGTTCAATCTTAAGAGACTCCTGTAGTTGGTGCTGAATGCCAAGGAGGCAGTTTAATAAAGAAAAAATCCTTGGTCTGTAAGTTAGAAGACCGCCAACACCTAGTTTTATAATCTCAGATTCAAATAACATCTGTAGGTTTTGAAGCATGAAAGCTCAGAAAACAAAAGAATAAATTACAGCAGCAACTATAATTGGGTTGTGGGTGCCAGCTTGTCGCACTGTCCTAAGAGCTTTGCATGCATTATCTTATTTAAACCTCGCAAACCAAGGAGGTGTTGTGGGCGCTTGATACATACTTTTTAAAGGACTACCAAACGAGATACGAATCAATATATGGTGCCATTTTTCTCGTGAGATGACTGGGGTTTTACAGAGGCCAGTAACTTGTTTAAGGTCACGTACTGGAGGGACTTGGTGAAGCCAATATTCCAGGATTACCTAACACGAAAGAATGCTTTGAACACTCCAATGCACTGGCTATCCTGGGGAGAAGTTTGGAGATCTGAGTGCGAAATCCGAGAAAAGTTAAAATCATTTCTACAGACCTACAGTTTTCCCATCGCCCGCACCGCGCTCTACACATCTCAGTGTCAGCCCTTCGCCCAGCGCCAGGTTGCTGGTTTTTCCTGCTCGGATCTCCGGTGTCGGCTCCCGAATTCCGCCACCCCAAACTCCGCCCGACCTCGGGTCGCTCACAGCCTGTGACCGTCAAACTACACTTCCCACAAGGCCCTGCGAGAGCACCGGTCCTCCGCCGGAAGTCAGGGAGACTGCATCCGGCGTCGGGAAAAGTGAGAGTCGGATTTTCTCAGTCCTTCGATTGCATCCTGGTGGCCTCTACACTGGTCACATTTGGGTTAGTAACAGTAGCGGCGAGTTAGTTGGCCCCAGTATCCTCTCTGGTGGTTGTGACCAGTTCCCCGGGCTCTTTGGTCTCCACGCTTCCCGGCGCAGCTCTGGGTCGGCAGGCGCAGGCGCTGGAGCCGCGGCGCCAGCAGCTGGAGCTGCAGGGACAGGGCGGGTGGTTTAGGCGGTCCTGCGGCTGGTGGAGTTTCCAGCCCAAGCTCTGAGATGGGGAAGAGGAAACGTTACTTCGGATGTTTTTTCACCTAGACAAAAAGTAATCGCACAGTAATATCAAGAAAATATCTCAAGGCATTTGACGGTTTGGAGAGATCGTGCAGAGGTAGCGCTTAATTGGTTAAATGGCCTTTAGTGCCCAGGAGGTGGAATATGTGAAATGGCAGTCAATGACTTCAGTAACAGAGCCATATCCTATCCCACCGGAGCCATGTGACCTTGGGCAAGTCATTAGCCCCCGGGCTACACACCAGTAAAAATGGGTGTTGGCTTGGTTAATATCTAAGTTCCTTTAAACCTGAGATTCTTCTAAATGACTTTTGAGAATAGTCCACCGTCTTCTTGCCTTCAAATTCTTATTTTCTACGGGAACCGTTAGTGAGAAAGATAAATCAAGCAGTAGAGCTGAATCTCGGACTTTCTGGGCTTCTCTGGGACGAGTAATGGTACTTTTTCTGGATGGCTTTTCTAGTGAGAAAGCTGAGGGGGAAAGTATACATTTTCTACTTCCTTTCTCCAGAAAATGTTGTATGCAAAAGCATTGCACTGGCGGTAGTGAATGACACTGTATTTTTTGGAGGACAATTTCGCAATCATCTGGGGTGGCCTGTGGGGAGGGTAGGAGAGTGACCATGACCTCAGAACATGGTACAGTGAAATATTGTTCAAAGTAAATCTAAGTGATGAAACTGTGTAATATGAGCTTATGTAAAACAAATTTAAGAGAAAGGCAACTGGGAGGGGAAACCATACACAAATTGGTACAGCATTGCTTCAAAATAAAGTCCTGAAAAGTTACAGCTTTTGTTATTCATAATATTTTTAAAGCATTTAAAAATTTCAATATGAAAGGAGTGGGGAGGTAAATTCTAGAGTAAATCAAAAATAAAAATAAAAATTATTTGTAATATAGAATATAGGATAATTTGTAAAAATTATTTGTAATATAGAATATAGGATAATTTGTAAAAATTATTTGTAATATACTCCTAATTTAATTTGTAAACAGATTTTCAATATTAGGTTTTATCCAAGTGTTTCCATTCTTATGAGTAGTTTGAGCCCATTTACAAGTAGCAGAAAGACACAAACAGGAGACATGAACAGATAGAAAATCTAAACAGATTTTCAATATTAGGTTTTATCCAAGTGTTTCCATTCTTATGAGCAGTTTGAGCCCATTTACAAGTAGCAGAAAGACACAAACAGGAGACATGAACAGATAGAAAATAAAGACATTAATCTTTAGCCCATTCTTCCCCTTAAATTTGGCTCATACTACTCCTACTACAAAGTTTTTCGTCTGCCAGATTGCTATTTCAGAACCCAAGAGACAACAGCTGTTAAAAATGATAGATTATAACCTTTTCTTCTTTTTAGTCTGAATACCTTATTGCTTAGAATGGTAGAAATGTAGTTAGAATCCCAAATCTTTTAATAGTATTTCATAGAAAAAAGTTTGTACCTTAAAAAAAAAATAATTTGAGAAGTTCGTTGACAATTGAAACATCAACCATTTCACAAAAAAATAGCTCAGTTTGTGCCCTATGCCATGCAGTCATAATTAGGCAACATTTAAGAGGCGTATTATTGTATTATTCCTTTTATTCACTGAAACAACAGCGTTACAAAGCAAAGAAAGTTAATGATTTCAGAAACTTCTGTGATTCAAGGACAGCAAAGTGACCAATAGAACTTTTCCAAATAATAAATACAGAAATATATGATCATCTGATTTGTGACAAGGATAATTCTTCAGTGCAATGGGACAAAGGTGATAATTTCAAGAACAGTGCTGAGTCGTATGGATTATCCATTGAGATAAAAAAAAGTATCTTGACCTCTACCTCACACCATGAACAAAAATCAGACTCCTTCTACATGGATAGCAGAATTTATAGTGTAAAGCAATAAATTGTTTTTATGTGAAACCTAGAAAGCACTCCTTCTACATGGATAGCAGAATTTATAGTGTAAAGCAATAAATTGTTTTTATGTGAAACCTAGAAAGCTTTTGAATAATTAGCTAAGGGATCATAGTTTCCCTGAGGGAAGGGACCTATACCTGTACCAAGAATCAGAGAACACTACTTGTCATATGCTAAAAACCTGTGCCTTTACTTCCATCTGCTTTAAACAAACCCCCTCTGTATTATGTGTCCACTCCCTAATGAAGTCGTCTTTGGTCTACCTCAAGTACCCATTCTTCTTGTTACCTGGCTTCCCTTCCAAGGATATGGCCTCCTTATCTGTATTACCAAAGCTCATTACACATTATTTTATATTTTATATAATTATGTATATTTAATTTAACTATTTTATAATTCTCACTGATAATTTTGAAATGTGCTGTAATGACAGTTTACTAATAATTACCTTTTGAAGAGTGTATTGCTTTTATAAACCATTACTATTATTCTAATGATATCAGCACTTAGATAATGTTCCTCTATTATTGATACAAAAAGCAACTGCAAATAAGAAGGGTTTTTTCCTATTTTCCTTTGTTTTAAGGAAGAAATGTCTTCTGTAAAAAGAAGTCCAAAGCAAGACATAATTTCTGAATTTCACAGCTCAGCTGCAGAAGGAGATACTGCCAAGTTAACAAGAATACTCAGTCATTCTCCAGCTCTTCTCAATGAAACGTCTGAAAATGGCTGGACTGCTTTAATGTATGCTGCAAGGAATGGGCACCAAAATGTTGTCCAAATTCTGCTTGAGAAAGGGTAAACATTTTAGGCTCTATTACCTGAAAGGGTTTGTGGTTTAATTTCTGTTACGTATTTCCTTTAAAATTTTTTTGTAGTCATATTTATATTGTTGGGGTAGTAAATAACTCATTGACCAGTTTGTTACATGAAAAGGTAGCATATTTTTAAACAAAAACTTTTTTACCTTTTTAATTGAAAAATTAACCCTTCGTACTTAATACCAAAGCAAATTTATGAGTACTTTGATTTTTTTCTCCCACATAGAAAATGTTAATCTCACTGTGACTCCCAAGGACTCCTTGTAGAATTTTGGTCTCTCCTTATAGCACATAAAACTTACTTTTTCATTTTGTAAGTAATTATCTATTAATTTTAAATATCCACTATCTCTTTTTCATTTATGATTATTAAATGGTTCTTTTAACCTTCCCAATAATAAACTATGTACCAAAAGGAAAAAACAATAACAATAACAACAACAAAAAAAAACTATGTAATCATTAAATAAAGGGGCTATAATGTGCATATGGAAATATTTTATTGATATAAATTCAAGAGAAATGTTTACATTCTATTTTATTTTTCCTTCCATCTGTAGGTGTGACAGGTCAATTGTCAATAAATCAAGTCAGACTGCACTGGATATTGCTGTATTTTGGGGTTATAAGCATATAGCTAACTTACTAGCTAATGCTAAAGGTGGAAAGATGCCTTGGTTCCTAACCAATGAAGTGGAAGAATGTGAAAATTATTTTGGCAGGACACTACTGGACCGGAAAAGTGAAAAAAGAAATAATTCTGATTGGCTGTTAGCTAAAGAAAGCCATCCAGCCACAGTTTATATCCTTTTCTCAGATTTAAATCCCTTGGTTACTCTAGGTGGCAATAAAGAAAGTTTCCAACAGCCGGAAGTCAGGCTTTGTCAGCTGAACTACACAGAAATAAAGGATTATTTGGCTCAGCCTGAGAAGATCACCTTGATTTTCCTTGGAGTAGAACTTGAAATGAAAAAAAAGTTACTTAATAATGCTGGCGATGTCCCAAGAGAAGAAGATGATGGATTGGTTGCCTGGTATGCTTTAGGTATAGATCCTATTGCTGCCGAAGAATTTAAGCAAAGACATGAAAATTGTTATTTTCTTCATCCGCCAATGCCAGCTCTTCTGCAATTGAAAGAAAAAGAAGCAGGTAAGAAATGAACCATGCTTACTTACTTGTATTGGTAGGAATCTGGTTTTTAGAACTGAATTGGAATTGTATGTATCTGCAATTTCCACGGGGCACACTTTTTCCAGTAAGCAGTGAAAATAAAAATTTCCTAAAATTCTCACCCTAGGGAACTACTCTTCTTGGCCATTACAGTCATTTTAATCAGCCAAGATTGGTTTCCTCAGAATTAACCCTAATGCATAATGGTTTCATTTTTCTTCAGTGAATACATTGAACATGTCGGTGAAGACCTTGACTGTTTTGTTTTGTTTTGTTTTGTTTTGTTTTCCGTTGCTGGGGCTTTTTATGCCATGGTAAGAAATTAGGGTTTGATTCTAAATGCCATTTAAATGCTGTAAACTGATCTATGTTTAAAAAATAAAAATAAAAATAAAAAAAAACATCACTCTAGCCACTTTGTAAAGCATAAATTGTAGGTTTGTAAGTAATTAAGTGTGGAAGTCCGGAGTCTTGTTTACAGGAAACTGGGTTTTACGATAGCCTGGGTAAAATTTTGCAGTGGGTTGGTTTAGAATGGCGGCAGTGGTGATGGACAAAAGAGAGTTTGAGATATTTTGGAGGTAGAACTGATAAGGCTTGATCTGTGGGTTAAGATTATTATAAGTGAGAGATGATGGTAATCTAGACTAAAGCATATGGACTAAGCATTAAGGTGCTCATAGTAGAGATGGAGAAAAGAGTACATTCAAGATATATTTGGGGGATAGAATCAATAGTACTTGCTGATGGATTGGGTATGGGGTATATAATTATGAAGGAAAAAAACCAAGAATGACTGCTAGATTTGAGACTTTAGTAATTTGGTAGATAGTGATATCATTTCTTGATAAAATAGGGTGATGGGTAGAGCAAGGAAATCAGAACAGACTTGGAGTAAATAAATCCAGAGTTTACTTCTGGCGTGTTAAGTTTTAGAGAAGGATATTAAAATCTGGAACTCAGAGGAGAAGTCTGAACTGGAGATACCCATATGGCAGTCATCAATACAAAGGAGGTATTAAATCCCAAGAAACTACTTAGATTACTGGAGAGTTGAGAGCAAGCAAGGAGAAGAACCTTAGAATCAGACCGGAATCTCCCTAAATTTAGAGGTCAGGTACAAGCAGAGAAGCTGTCAAGGAAGATGGAGACCATTTGGCGGTAAGGTGGGAGGAAACCACAAGAATGTTCTCATGGAAACCAAGAGGGCAGAGTATTTCAGGGAGGGAGTGGTCAAGTGTGTTGAATGCTGTTGAGAATTTGAGTAAGATAAAGGCAAAGATTTTTTTAAAGGATGTTTGGTTTTGGTAGTATGACGCTGTTGATAATTTGATAAGAGGATTTGATAAGAAGCCAGATTACAGCAGATTGAAGAGTTACTGGGAGGTTAGGAAGGGGTCACTTGTCAATGTCCACCTTTCCTTACATGATGTGTTAAGCCTTTCCAGAGACTTTTTAGATACCTCTTCCCCAAAGTCTGGTGTGGTGTGTTTTATTAGCCACACTTATGGGGAAATCATCCAACTATTAAAAAAAAAATCTTTTTGGAGGCGTATATATAATTTTAATATCAAAATAATCTTATAAATGAGCTAGTTGGTTGGTTGGTTGCCCTTTAAAAAAAAAAGAAAAACTGGTAAGATAACAGGTTCTTTAACTCAATTGCTATATAACCTTACACAGTTATTTAGCTTCTCTGTGCCTCAGTTTCCTCCTCCAGAAAACAAGGATAATAGTAGTCCCTACCTTCTTCATGGGGTTGCTTTGAACATTAATAATCTATATAAAGTTATTTTCATGGTGCTTGGCACATAGTAAATACTCAATAAATGTTAGCTTTTCTTATTCTGATGATCCTGAAATAACAGATTCCCTAGTGTAAATTACATATTACAAAGTAATGTAGTAGGCAGATCTTTAATGTTGCCTGTGGTTCATTGAATTTCAGTATTATAGTTGTTTTTATTTATGTTTTATTTATTCATTTCTCCAAGTTTAAAGTTATTATTGGTTTTTATTATTTTGTTTATTTCAAAAAAATCCATAGACCAAATAATTTATTTTAAAAGTGAGAGCAAGTTTTTCAGGCATGTAAAATTGTAATATTTCTTGTCAGGCTATATTAATTTTTTTGCAGTATCAGGGTAGAGGCTATGTCAAGGGTGTATATTCTAAGATTTATTCTATTAAGCATTTTTTTCATAAACAAAGTTAACCTCAGTGTTGTAAATGCAGTATGTTTTATACAACATGCAGTCTCCAGTTGAAAACAGTGTATGTTCCTCAATGGCATGGATCAGCAGTGACTTAGTCTCCAAGAAGGAAGGTGGAGATAGATTCCTATAGTTAGAGTCCAAGCCTAAGTTAGGAACTGCTTTTGTACTATATTTTATAAAAATCGGTAATGTAAAGGACACTATTTGTAAATTCACTATACACTAGAATTATGTATATCCAAAATTTAAAAATCAGGTATAGTAAAAGCCTGATCTAATACAGTGTGTAAGATGGAGTTAGTACATCTATCTAATGTGAGAGTTTATATTTTATTCAAATTAAAGTTAAAGTTAATTTTCATTTGTCATCTAGAAAATCACATCTTTTACTTTAAAAGAAAAATATACAGCATAAGAATAGAAATACTAAACCCTTGATCACACAACTATTCGGAAAACTGTGTTCTTATTATAGCTTAAGAACAGTTTACCTATCTATTAATATTTTTACAATTTATCACAGAATGAAAACTTTTTTGCTTCCTTTAAAGGGGTTTTAGCTCAAGCAAGATCTGTTCTTGCCTGGCACAGTAGGTATAAGTTCTGCCCAACCTGTGGAAGCTCAACTAAAATCGAAGAAGGTGGCTATAAAAGAGTATGTTTAAGCGAAGACTGTCCTAGTCGCCATGGTGTTCATAATACATCATATCCAAGAGTTGGTAAGCCTTTTCTTTTATGGTGAAATATCTGCCAGCTGGAATCTTGGGGAAAAAGACATTCTGGACAGACACAGTTTTGAGAAGCTTAAGTGTTTACCATTTTATTAAAAGCATGTTTAATTTAAACATTAGACTGTAAGTATTAAAGTATGGTGTACTGTATAGTTAGGGCTAGGGTCTGGAGCTCACAGACCCCTCGAGCCTTTTCACAAACCCTTCACACGCAGGTCTATGAGGTAGGTAACTGGCAAAATGGTCCTTGGAGCCTTGGTTGAAGAAAGACTAGTCTTTATTTAGCACACACAACAAACACTATGAGCTAGGCAGTACAAAGAGAAACTCAGAAACTCAATTGCTACCAGGAAAGTCCAAAGAAAAAACTGAGCAGCTGCCAGCAGAGTAAACATGCTCTATTTTTAGACACGAGCTCTGCTGGCCTGCTCTCCTTCACAAACTCAAGAACACACAATAGCAACAAAACTAAAAAGATACATCAGTGCACATTTGCACTAACAACACCCATACAGCTTGTTTACAAAGAATTAAGAATGTGCACCTCCAACCAGACCTGAGCCAAGGGAGCCTGACTAAATTATCCTATTTTCCCCACATGTACTTTCATAATTTTAAAGTAAAACGCATTATACATGATTACATTGTACGTGATTTCTTAACTTTGGATTAATCGGTATGAATTTGATGTGTAGAGATACATGATTTCAAAAGCCCACCAATCTGGCTCCCCTTAGTGAAAGGTAAAAAAGCCCCAATAATTTAGTGCCTGATTGAGGCATCACCAAAGCAATACAGCTGGGGCTAGATTCTCATTACTGCTACTGTCTGTACCTTTCTCCTTCTTATTGCTGCTTTGAGTCTGCTGTATGTTTGGGAATCAGATAACCCAGCCCTTTAGAACTGTGTGAAAAAAGAATTGATAGAAGTAGCTGTACCTGAGGATGTTTCCAGACTCCAAAATGCATGGCTTAGTGACATCTGTTTTTGTTGCT